GGATAAGTCAGTGACTCTATCATGCTCTCACTCTCATCTCTGTTTCAACTGTCTTTATATATGTCTTGGGTTATAAGGATCCTCTAAAAGTAGTTATTTATGAGTCAGACCCCACAATTGTCTGGCTCTGTTCCCAACAAGCTTATCTTCTCTCTTCTTTCCATGTATGTATGACACACAACCAGAACCAAAGCCAGCCTAATAATAATCCCTGTGCCAATACTGTGCTTGAGATTGCAAAGTGCTCTACTCAGACAGAAAGCATAATGTGCTTTAAATAGATTTTTATTTTTCTTTATATTAATTTTTTTCTCCCATAGAGGAATAACATTAAAATCTAACAATCAGAATCCTGTTAAACACATACACAGGCATGCCACATGACTGGATCGAGGTGGTTGTGTCCTTGAGTCTGTCAACATGTCACAACATGGTCAACCACAGTCTTCTCATTTCAGCCAGTCTCAACACAAAACGCCTATGAGGGATACACTCAACTTGTTGGTTCCATGTGGAACTAGGTGGCAAAGCAAAAGGGAAGATACAAGGGGCTCCGATGTGTCTGCATTCAGTCCCCTCACATAAAGTCACATGGATCTGAGAAGGCATCCAAGAGCTCTAGTGGGGTCCTTGTTGCATCTAAGACATTATAGGTCAGAACAAATTGATCAGGGTTCCAGGTGGGGGTCGGGGAGCAGGCATACCCCAAAACAGCAGCAAACTGCATTCATACACACATGGTACCCTGCTGGAGCCAAACTGGCAAAAGCTGGAAAGTGACAGCCAGCTTGAAGGTAGCACTCAGACGTATTGAGGAATTACTATAAGTCGCCCTTTGATGTCTTGGGTCTGACTCTAGAAATGGGTCCCTCTGACATACTCAGTTTTGGCAAAGTGCTGGTAGTATTGACATTAATTAATACAAACTTCTCCACGGTCTCTGAAAACATCAGTCAAGACGGACTCTCTCACCCCCTCCTGTCTAAGGTTGCATAGGACTTTGTGAATTCAGGTTTCCTCATGTATTCAAGTTCTGTGGTTTAAGAAAAAATCCTGAAGCATGCTCAAGGTGAAAGGCACATACACAGTCAATACAGTATGACGAGGTCTGATGCTTCAGGAGTCAGACTAGCAGGAGACTTGAGTAGTGTTGGTTCTTAGAAATCTATACATACTCAAATGCTACAGAATCTACAGGAAACTACGAAAACACATGAGCCTTACCAGCCAGGTGGTGAGATTGCCGAGTTCTAGAACTACAGGAGCCTCCAGAAATGTGTGTAAGGGAGAGGCCTTTTGAAATTTGAACCAAATGCCCTATAACTCACTCTTCTCCCCACCCGCCCCAGAAGGATCATGGGGACTGCCCAGGACTGAACCTCTGCCCCAGCTGGCAGCAGAGGAGTAGGCAGGAAGAGTTGCAGGGAGCTGAAACTCCTCTCAGAAGTGCTGAAGACCCTAAGCTGGCTGTGAAGTGACCACGGGGTAGCTGGAAGAAGAAAAGCAACTAGGTTGTAACTGCAGGAGAACCTTGGCGAGAGAAGCAAGGTTGTCAACTACTGGGGCCCTAGTGGACTGGCATAGGGTCTTTGATCTGCCTTTACTGTAGATTTGGTTTACTCTGTTGGATAGGAGACCCCAAAAGGAACTTCCTCTGTCCCCATCCCAGCAACCATGGGGCTACCCCCCTCCCTTATCCATATACCCAACCTGAGGCTTGGGGCTATAGGATCAGGGAGGGCAGCTGCCTTTACCCTCATGGGATTGCAGTTTTCCAACCAAGCCTCAGCTTGGTGGTGAGGCCAAGAAACCTGGAACTGGAGTGAGGGGGAAGACCTATGTTAGTATGTAACAGGAAATCTTAAAAGTTTCAAGGAAGAAAGAGCAAACTAGAAAAGGACAGAGGAAAAGGGAAGCAACTCGGGGTATCCCAAGAAGCTGTTGCTGGTGTGTGAGCCCAAAATTCACTCCCACTACAAGAAGGACAACACTGTCTGCCTGTGTCCCCTCTTGTCTCACCCAGGGATTCTGGTTCCCTCCTCCAGTCACTTACTGGAGGAGAGGGCAAGGGGAACCACAGGGCACCCATTTCTCCCCATCAGACTAGGAAGGAAGAGCCTTGGGGGAGGAAATGTGAGGGCCTGACCCTGGGTAAGAACTATTTGGGGAATGGGCCAGTGGGGCTCCTGGCTTCCTATCCAGGAGTGTTTATGAGTCATCCTAGGCAGTGTGTGAAATACAAGGCCAGAGGCAACATGAAGGCTGAGCTGTCCTTCTTGGGATGGCTTCACCCCACAGCTTGTCCTTCCCAGCATCATTCTCCTGCATTCTTACTCTGGGGTGTGCACTTACCCTGCCTACAAGCCCTCTGGCCTGCATCTCTCCTAAACTAGTTCTAGCACCTTGGGCATGTGAACAGATGGCCAGGATGGCAGGGTCTTGCCCAGCCTCTACTCCTGGGGTGACATGTTGGGGATAGGGCAACAAGGTACTAAGCCCTTCAGACTCAGGGGTGTGCAGAGGGGTGGATTTCTAAAGAGATTTGGGAAGTGGGATTATAGGCAAGGGAAGTGGGGGCAGACTTCAGGCTCAAGCCCAAGAGGAGGGCTTGGCCTCTCTGAGCAAGCACAGTGCCAGTTCCCATGGTGCCCTGTTCCCTACAGCTTCTTAACCTGTATGTCCTATGTTTCCAGTAGGCTGCCTCTTTCCCTCGGTTCCCTCCACCTTCCCCCTCTAACTCACAACTCACAGTCCTGTTCTACATACTTTATCTTTCCAGGCCTAAACAACTCCGAGGGGAGAGGGAGGAGGAGACTAAAGGCAGAACCCTTTGGCCTCAGCGCCCACTCCCCCATCCATTTGGGAGGGAATTACTGGGAATGAATAAGGGAGCAGGAGTGAGCGTAGTGCCAAACATGAGAATGGGTGAGGCTTGTAAAATGGGACTTGAAGGCGGGGAAAGAGCTAGATGTGGGAGAAGAGATTAGTGGAACAAGGAGTGGGCCAGAGGTACAGGACCGGAGGGCAAGGATGAAGGGGAATGTCAAGGCAGAGATGGGGACAGGGACCAGAGAAGGAGGGAAAGATGGAGTGTCAAGGGGGAAGGAAATGGAGGATTAGATGCCAGGCTCGGGGTCGGAGGGTGAAGGACAGGAGGGGGTTCAGAGGCAGATCAGAGGATCAGAGGTGGGAAAATCGAGGTGGGGGAGGGGGGCTAGCACCCCACCTCACTTCAGGAGAAGGGAGGTTGTAGTGTCCCACCCAAGTGGGCTGCGGGCGCTCCTCGAGCAACACACTGGCTGCGGCGGAGGGGCCCGACAGGGTCAGGAGTCGGCGAGGGGTCTGTGGTTCGGCCGGAGGACCCTCAGTAGTTGAACTGGCGCTGGCACGGCTGGTAGACGAAGCTGCCCTGGTGCTTGGGCCGCCGCGAACGGCTCTCGCGGGCGCGGTTCTGCCGCTGCACCACCTTGGCGCTCAGCGCGTGGCGCTCCGCCCGCTGTCGGGCCCGCTGCAGCCGCCGCGCCTGGCCCGCCTTCTCCAGTAGCGCCGGCCGCGCCGGCCCAGGGGCGGCGGCGTGGTGCAGGACCCGGGGCTCGCGGCGGGCGGGCGCCAACTCCCTGCGGGGACAGAGCAGGGCTCGGTCAGGGCCAGACACTCCGCCCACCCAGTCCCCGCACCCTCGCCCTGGCACAGTGCTGTCTCTGCTCTTAGCAGGGCGCCCAGTGCCCTTCTAGTGGGTCCCAACCCTTCTTCCGAGCCAGCCTGGAGATGCCTCCTCCGTTCTAACCCCTGCAACAGGTAAACCGGACTCCAGGGAGGCTCGGCTCCCAACTCCAATTCGGTTCTAACCTTCCAACCCAGCCTCTGAAAACCCCACCCCTTCGGCGCCCCGCCTAGCCCTTCCGCCAAACCCGCCCCAAGCCTCCCAGCTCTCTCTCCCAGGCCCCGCCCGGGCCACGAAGCCAGGCCTCGCCCTCTCTTAAAGCTCCGCCCCTTTCCCCTCAGGCCCGCTCCGAGCCTCGTCCCCGCCCCCGGCCACGAAGACACGCCTCTAAAGGCTCCGCCCCTTCGGTGCGGGGCGGGCTCCTGGGCTCGCTCCCCGGTCTCCAGGTCTCCAGGCCACGTCCCCGGCCAGCTCACCCTTCGCTAAGGTCGCCGTCAGGCAGGGCAGCGTCGGGGTGTGGGGAGGGGGGCCCAGGCTCCAGCACTATGGTGCTGCCGGTGACGTAAACGGACATGCTGGGGTGCTCGATGAGGAGATCCTCCAGGGGGCTGCTCTGGAGGCGGGCGGGCCCGAGTCCGGGCCCCTCTGCAGTAAAACAGGCGGGAGGGGTAACAAACCAGCTCTCGTCCATCAAGGAGGGCGCGGGCGGGGGGCGGCCTGCGGGGGCAGGGGCGGCCCCGGGGCTGGGTGGAGCCGCGTAGCTGTCTACGGGGCGCGGGAGGGGGAGCCATGCGGAGGAGGGGGCGCAGCGGGGAGGGACACACACACACACACCGGACACAGTGGGGCGGGGAGAGAAAGGGCATCGTTAGTCAGACCCGCAGCCCCGCCCGCCGCGCCCACGGGGCACCCACGGGCCAGGAGTCTCGACTGGCTGCCCTAGGGCACGTGAGGTGTGGGCCCCAACGCTGCGCTGCCAGGAGACGGCCCGGGCTTTGCGTGGGATGGGGCCCTGTTGCCTTCAGTGTCACTGCCTCGGCCCCATTTGCCCAGTAGGCCGGGGAAACTCCCCAGTGCCTTAGCAGCTCCCTTCCCCTCCGCTGCTCGGCCGCTTGCCCTTTCACAGGCCCAGGAATCAGAGTCCGGGCCCCCGACCCAGGCCTCACCCGGCAGATCAATAATGAGCCAGCCGTCCACTTCATCCTCCTCGGAGACCAAGGCTAGGGGGCATTCCGGGTCCTCGGGGGGAGGGGGGGTACTGAAGAAGAGGCTGGTGAGGCGCTGGAACATGGCCGGGGATGGAACGGCCTCAGGGGGGCGTCCTACGGCAGTGTAGAAACCTGCGAGGTGCGGAGGAGGAGTCAGAGACCCCACCGACTTTAGTCACTACCCCTGACTCCGGGCTGGGGATCCCACCCCCAGCCCCCAGAGCACAGTGAGAGTACGACAGGGATGTGTGGGTAAGCTCTGCGGTGTGTGCACGATCTGGTAAGTCCGCCTGCTTTCAGGCTTTTTCTATTTTCTCTGTGACCTTAGGAAGTTATTTAACTTCTCTGTGCTTTAGTTTTCTCATCTGCCAAATGCCAATGATAAAACACCTTCCTCTGGGCCCTTATAAGAATTACATGAGCTAATAAATATATCCTCCTCTGGGCTCCATTAAGAATTAAATGAACCAAACACAAGGTGCTTAGAGCCATACTCGGGCACAGAGTAAGCATTCAATAAACGAATCAATTCGTTATTAATATTACTGCATGCTCTAGGGACATGGAAGGAGTGATATATATATGACCAGATTCTATCAGGAAAGGTCTCCAGAGGGTTGGACATCCAAGCTGGACCCTGAAGTTCTCCAAGCAATGAAGAAACTGTCCAATATTGTGATTACTTATTACCATCATCATAATATAGCTAACATTCATGTGCTAGGTACTGTACTAAGCACTTTACCTATATCACCACCGGTACTTCTCACAACAACTCTAGGAAGTGGGTCTAATTATTATCCCTCTCTTACAGGTGAAGAAACTGAGGCTCAGAAAGATAAGGTAACTTGCACAAAGTCTCACAGCTAATAAGACACAGGTTCGATTTAAACCCATGCTATCAGATTCCAGAGGCAGCACCCATAATCACTATACTCCCTTGCCTTTGCTGGATTAGACATTAGTCTAGATTAGGCGTTTTTAACTTGGTGGCCAAGGTGTTTTTCTGGGAAGAAGTTTTCATCATGATTTCCTAGCATCACTCCTTGACCCCAAATACTAAGAACCACTACTTGAGCCTGTATGGCTTGAAAAGTGCTAGCTGGCAGAAATCCCACAGAACCGCCACCATGTGATTGTACAGCTCTCATTTGTGTCTGTCAGACAAGGTTCTAAGATCCTGCTCCCTTGGGCCCTCCCCCCCTCACCCTCTATACCTAAGCTCCTGCTCAAGGGCAGCATTCTTGGCTAGGGGGAACATCAGGTTGCCTGGCCCCAGAGAAACAGCAGGTCAGTGGGAGGTGATGATGAAGGGTGGGCCTGTCAGACCCCAGGAGCCCTTAAGGATGAGCACTGAGGGTTGGACCAGGACCCAACCCCTCAAATCAGTCCTTCCCTGGATGAAAATGAGGAAGGAGACCCCCTGGTCCAGGAATGGAGACACCAAGGAGGTGGCTATAGATCTGCCCTTCTCCCCACTTCAGCCTACCTTAGGACTAGGCCTGGCTAGGAGTCCCCTGGATGTCCCAAAACTTCTGCCTCCACATCTGTCCCCTGAAGATGGTCAACCATTTTGCTACTGAGACACTTGTCACCTTCCTCTAGGGATGATTCCACACTTCCTGTAGAACTTCCTGGGGGGTATGTCCACTTTTCCATTCCCTGGAGGCATTCTACACTTATTGCTAACCCACCTGAGGTTTTGGGGTTTTTTTTTTTTTTAAGATTTTTCTTATTTATTTGTCAGAGAGAGAGAGAGCACAAGCACGGGGAGCGGCAGGCAGAGGGAGAAGCAGGCTCCCCGCTGAGCAAGGAGCCTGGTGCGTGACTCGATCCCAGGACCCCAGGATCATGACCTGAGCCAAAGGCAGACGCTTAACTGACTGAGCCACCCAGGCGTCCCCCACCTGAGGTATTTTTATGCTTGTTGCTACCTCTCCCATTCCCTGGGTATGTTTTCACACTTGCCACCAGAATTATTCCAACCTCTATAAACTGAGAGTATTTCCGCATTTGCAGACCCACAGTGGGCTCCAGAAGGAAAGTGTTCCCTGGGTGCTGGCTTCTCTGGTGGGAGATCTACAGAGATTATAAAAGGTTGGGCACCCCCAACTAGGGTCTGCCCAGCACAAGCCACATATCCCAACCCATCTGTTAGCCATAGGGAGTTAGTGACTCAGTTACCAAAAATCCAGAAAGGTTGGCCCCTCCTGAAGGAAGGGAAGATTGGAGCCTTGATGAGGCACACCCTCCTTGCAACAACCTACTACTTCAGTGGGAAGATGAAAGGGAAGTTAAGAACTGTTGCAGGCCCATCATATTCACCTGGCCCATTTTACGACCTGAGAATCCGAGGAAATAAGTCTATCCAAAGACATAGAGCTAGATGGTGGCCAGGCAGGTGTAGCCCCGGGTCATGAAACATCCAGTCCAGAGTATACACAATCAGGAAAGCCTCAGCAAACAAGCCCCAAAATGTAATGATGCAGGAGCAATAGGGAGGTCAGAGAGGAGTCAGAACTCAGCGAGTCACTTCTCATCTCAGAACCCCTCTGTCCATCTGTAAAAGGGCTTGGAGTTCCTGGCACCAAGATTCACCATGCATTTACCAGAGCACCCACTGTGCAGCAGAACCTGCCGTGGGTCTCCTGTAATGACACACAGATCAAGGTAAAGGCAGCCCGGGCGGGGGGTAAGTTCCCTGCCTGAAGTCACACAGCAATTAAGTGACAGAACCAAGAGGGACAGCGCACCAGCCAGCCAGTGCCCGCCCCCTCTCATGACCACTAGGGGAGCCTCCCGGATTTTCTTTCCCATCTTTGCCAGCTTCCTGATTCTCACATTCCCAGCCCTGCTCCAGGGGGAACCATTCCCTTTAATAACTACAGCAGCTGTGCCCAGAATAGCACTTGAGCTCCAAGCCATCTCTACCCCACCCCATCCTTTAGCAAAGCAGGCTGGGGTGGGACTCTTGGCCCAGTCTCTGGGCCCATCCACTTGGAAAGCCAGAAGCTCTCCTTCTCCTACTCGTTTCTCCTGCCCCCCTCTGTGAGCAGAGAGAGGGGCAGCACAACCCTACTCCTCACCAGCACTAGGCCGGGTCATGTCCTTCTTAGCAGACAATGCTGGGGGTTGGGAAGGTAAGAAAGGGCCAAACAGAGGCAACTCTCACCCTCCATCCCACCCCAACATCAGTCCTGGAGACACCCTGATGCAGCCAATGACTCACCTTTCTGTGGTCCAAAGAGCTGGGAGGCAGTGATATTGGGCTCTGGGACTCCAAAGTACAGAGTGAGGGTCAAGGCCACAAAAGGGGACCCCGTCTCCAGAGACCTCCTGGAAAAAGATCCAGGATTGAGGGGACCTAGGAGCCCCACCGAATTTGGATGGTACTGAGCCTAAGGTAGAGTCAGTCCCCAGTGTTAGGAGGATGTGTAACTTGTTACTTGTATTGAGTTCCTACCAGGCATGTGCCGTGGCTAATGCACCTGTCATTCACTCAGTAGTCATGACTCTAATTGGCTTCATGACCTCGGGTAAGCAACTTCCCCTCTCCGGGCCTCAGTTTCCCCTTCCATGAAATAGAGTCTAAGACCCCTTGTTTGGGGGCTGGGAGTGACATCAGCTAAAGCGCGGCGCACAGCAGTGAGATGTTACAGTAGTCCCGGGGTGCAGAGCTTGGAGCTGGAGAGAGGGTATTCCGCCATCTGGCGCCGCCCCAACGACCTAGAGCTGGAGCTCTGGCTGCCCCTGAACTCCTGAGGACCACCCGCCCCCCGGCCTAGACCCACCAGCGCCTCCCGAACCCAAGGAGAAAGTAGGGAATCGGAGGCCTGACCCCAACACCTGGGTTAGCCTAGGAAACTGCCGGGGCCCCTCCGGTCCTGCTGCCTTTCAGCGTCCCTCACCCGTGGGCCCAGCCCCGACCCAGCGCCTACTGGGTCACGGGAGGACAGGCGACCCGAGCCGGGGGGCGGTGCCGGCCTTGGTGACGTCTCAATGTCATATGCAAATAGGGAGACGTCACGGTCTACCGGCGTGCGGCAGCCAATCGGGAGATGGGAATGCAGCCCGGCGGCCGCGGGCGGAAACAAAGACCCAGGAGCAGGGACCGCGGGGCGTGTCTCCGGACGCAGGACCCCCCCTGGGCCGAAGCCGGTCGGGACTCACCTGGGGGAGGGAACGGTGAGGCGGGCGGGGGGCTCTGAGGTAGATGTGCGGCGGAGCGTCCGGGCGTCGGCGTTGATCACAGGCAGGGCTGCATCGCGGGGGCTGGACCGGGAGGCCGCGGGGCTCCGCCTCGGAAGCTCGCAGCTGCTGCGCTCGCCCGCGGAGCTTTGAGACTGTGCGGCCGCTGCCGGGCTCACTGCACAAATTGGAAAGTTCTAACAGCTGATTGTGACGTCACAAAGGGGCCCGCCCGCCTCGCGTCACCGGCCGGCGGTGCGGTGGCCAATCCCAGGCTGCGGATGCCCGCACCCCACCCCCCTCCACGATTCGCTGGCTAGTGGATCCTGTCCGGGAGCCGGACTCCGAGCCTCGGGGGGCCTCCCGGAGAGCCCACTGGTGCAAGCTTCGACTCCTTGCCGCAGGGCGACCCACGGACCTCTTAATGAGGAGGGTCCCCATTCCCTACGAGATCCCCATCTTCCTGCATTCCGTCCATACATCGCAGCGCCCTCACCCATCCCACTGTCCCCCGTATCCTTTCGCCGACATCCTCTATCCTTGTCCCCCAATCTGTACCCTTTTGTCAACTCCACACCACGTCCGTGCACCTGCATTCTCCCCACCAACCTTCTCCCAGCTCTCCCTCCCTCTTCTGTCTCAACTCCTCACCTCTACACATTCTCTGCTTTCCCACTGTTTTTTCTCAGCTGGGCAGGCATGAGAGAGGTGGAGGACATCCCCTTCCCTGGTTCCAGGGGAGCACCGGGCAGTGTAGAGAAACTGGCGAAGCTGACGGGAAATTTTGCCGAGTAGGACTCGGAGAGGAATCGTCCTGGGCTGAATAGCTCATCTAGAGACGGCTCTGTACTGGAGCGTTCATACTTTAATCCATATTGCTACCAGGGCTGGACAGAAAAGTGACAGGACAAGGATTATTTGTCCCGATTTACACAAGGGGAAACTTAGGCTCACACATCTCACTGTCAGTATGTGGATTCATTTTCTTTCTTAATTTTTTTTTTTAAGATTTTATTTATTTGACAGAGAGAGAGACACAGCGAGAGAGGGAACACAAGCAGGGGGAGTGGGAGAGGGAGAAGCAGGCTTCCCGCGGATCAGGGAGCCCGATGCGGGGCTCCATCCCAGGACCCTGGGATCATGACCTGAGCCGAAGGCAGACGCTTAATGACTGAGCCACCCAGGCACACCTGTGGATTCATTTTCAATAATGCATTCAACAAACATTGTATGTAGTATTGCCTCTGCCAGACCACTAGCTAACATTTACTAAACACTGAGTGCCAGGCACTGTGCTATGGCACTTTATATGTGTTTTGATCTCCACAACAGCCCCAGAAGGTGAGTATTATTCCCATTTTCCAGTTGAGGACACAGACTCAGAGAGCCTAACATTTCCTACAGGTTGCAAAGCTATAATAAATAGCAGAACCAGGGCGCCTGGGTGGCTCAGTTGGTTGGGCGACTGCCTTTGGCTCAGGTCATGATCCCGGAGTCCCGGGATCGAGTCCCGCATCGGGCTCCCTGCACAGCAGGGAGTCTGCTTCTCCCTCTGACCCTCCCCCCTCTCATGTGCTCTCTCTCATTCTCTCTCTTTCAAATAAATAAAAATAAAATCTTTAAAAAAATAAATAAATAGCAGAACCAGGATCTGAACCCAACCCCCTTCACTCTCTACATGTATCTAATCCCCAGGGTGCCTCAGCCTCTCCAGGGAAACCTAGGCCCAGTCCTGACTGCCCCCAACTTGCTGTGTGGCCTCAGGCAAGTCATATTACCTCTGTGGGCCTCAATTTCCTTTTCCGTCAAATTTAACATATCCAAGCTGCTAGAGATTCTTTCACACTCTCAACCCTCAGGATTCTGCCAATCCCATATTCTAGACCCCCATCTCTCCCAATGCCCCAGGAAATACCTGAGGAGAGCCCACAAATACATGTCCTCAAATCTCCAGGGCGAGAGGTTCTGGGTCCTCTCTCAGTGGGGCAGCATGGGTGGGGGTGGGTCTGAGAGCTGCCGATCTGGCCCAGCCTAGTCTGCAACACCAGAGGGACTCCTCAGCCCTAGCAACTAGGAGAAGGAGCCAGGAGATAATACCCAGAGGCTTGAGGGGGCTGGGAGCGGGGGCGGGGGGGGGGGCATTGTTTTGGCCCTTGGAGTGATGTCCCCAAAGTGTCCTCCTTTTGTGCAACCCTGAGCTTCTGTTTTTTACCTCTACTTCCTGCTAACTTCATATCCTTTCCTGCTCTCCTTGCCAACTCAAGCTAAATAATCCCTAACATGCCTCTCCCGTCACACCGTTTGCCTGTTCTAAAAATTTCTGTGGCTCCCAAAGTATCACAGTCCTTAACACAGAATCTGTGGCCTTTCGTGAACCAGGTCCAGCCCTCTCCCGCTTCCTCCCCACTTCTACCTGCAGCTTGTGCTAACGTCATGTTCCTCACTGTCTCTTCAGCACTCTCCCACAGCCTAGAATGCCCTCTTCCGGTCTTTCTGAATTCATATATTTTCTGTCTTCAGGACTCTACTCACCCCTTCTTCCTCCAGGCAGCCTTCCCCACCCATATGTCCAGAGCTACTTTGATGGACAGTGATGTATTTGTTCGATAAACAAGCAGTGGTGATGACTAAGTGTGTGTGTGTGTGTGTGTCTGTGTGTGTTTGTGTGCGTGTCTTCCCAAATGGATGGTTGGCATCCCAAGGGTGTAATCTCTGTACAAGGGTGTACTACCCCCACCCACCTGGACCCTCTACCCTGGTATAGGAAGCATTCTACTGGGCATAGGATTTTGGTTCCCCGAGCCCAGGAAAGGGGCTCTTGGCATATACTCTGATATCCTAAATGAGCTGGGTTCTGTTCCCAGGCTTAGCTGAACCCCAGGTACAGGCTGTTAGGGCAGATCCCAGTCTTCCATTTCTCTGTAGAGTCAGAGGGGCCTGTGGATATAGGGGACTTTAGCCCAGTGGAGTCCTCTCCTGGAACCCCAGGACCCATCACTCTCCACTGCAGATTTATTATCAGGGCTGGAGGACACCTCAGATCTTAATTCATCCAAACTCATCTTATAGTGGAGAAACAGAGGCACACTGAGGCAGAGAGGTCAAGGCACCTGCTTAGAATTAGAAAGCAGCAGAGCCATCTACTGACCCTGGTGGTGGGGGGCGGTGGGGAGCTTAGTATTCTGGGACCCTGGTCTGGGCCTAAGCACTGTAAAAAGAGGCAGTGGGCACCATGCTAGGGGTAATCCTGGAGTCTCATTTCCAATTAGAAAGTGCTACTGCTGGATAGACATGGACATCTACACATACACACGAAGGCATCCATGTACAAACATACACACGTGTGCACATGAGCTCACACCCATGGAGTTAACAGATGCCCATGCCCATCCAATCTTTGCTCAGATATAAGCACCTGCCCAATTTTATGGGCTCCAGGATTAGAGGTCAAGAGGCCACCCTTCTATTCCTGTCTGGGCCTGAGGCTTGCCCTCACCAAGCCCTGGGGCATCCGCAATGGCTTGGGCCCCCCCCCCTTCAAAGGGCAGAGATGTGTCAGCCTGGGTGTGTCCTTCAGGAGACCATGCGTGCACTTGAAGGTATGAGTCCTGCTGAAGAACCGCCTCCCCTTTGGTCTCTCCCTCTTTCCCCTCTCAGGTAGAGGGCAAGGCTGAGGCAAAGACCAGTGGGTAGTTCGGAATCTGAGTCAAAACCCGGAGCCCTGATCACTGTAGAAAACAGAGCCTTCCCCTGTCCCCTACTAGTCTCCAGAATTACAGTTAAATGAAAATATTAATTATGATACTATTGGGATTTCTATGTGCCAGGTAGTACTCAAAGTCCTTACCTGTGTTGATGATTAATTGAATCCTCACAACAACCCTCTCATGTAGATATTATTCTTTCCATTTTCCCACAGACAGCAAAAAATTTAATCCGTAAAGCCAGCTAGGGCAGACATAATCCCTCAATTCCCCGCCAACAAATTGGCCCATACCTTAGCCAGGGGCCATACCCCCAGAATTTCTATTCAGAAAGGTCTG